CGCGGGATTACAGGCTGAGCCACCGAGCCCGGCTTTTTTTTTTTTTTAGTAGGAGTCTCCCTCTGTGGCTCAGGCAGGGGTGCATTGGCATGCTCACAGCCACCGCAGCCTCGACCTGCTAGGCTCAGTTGATCCTCCTGCCTCAGCCTCCCAAGTAGCTGGGACTACAGACATGCACCATCACACCCAGCTAATTTTTTGATTTATCATAGAGACGTGTCATCACCTTGTTGCCTAGGCTGGTCTTGAACCCCTGAACTCAGGTGATCCTCTCGCCTCGGCCTCTCAAGGTGCTAGGATTGCAGACTTGAGCCACTCCACCCAGTCTCAAGATTCTCCATTTAACAAGTTCCCAGAGGTGCCAGTGAGGCTGCTTTGTGAGCTCACTTTGAGTAGAGATTCTCGGCTCTATCAATATTAGATAAATGACAGAAACAGGAGAAATCCAGGGATCAGATTGGAGGATGAGGAAGAAACATGTAGAGGGGATGGGAGGCGGGTGGGGCTATGGAGGGATCTATTTAAGCCCAGGTGTGATCTCCACCAGTTCTCATCCCTGGACCTGAACCCATGAGCACATCTGGATTAGGCAATGTCAGGCTCAGAGGACCTTCCCGGAGGTAAGTCGGAGGGGTGAGATGGAAGCAAAGGCATCTGAGGAGGCTAAGGACAGCAGACTCTGGGTTTCAGGAAGAGACTAGGTGACTGAAGCCCAGGTTTCATCCACACAGGAGGTGGAGACTGCATAGGCGCTGTCATCTGACAGCAAACCCAAAGGCAGAAACTCCCTTCTGCCTTGGAATTTCAAGTACTCCATCTTGTTATGATGTCATAATTCCTCTGATCTCTGCATGGTTACGGACAAAGGAAACTCATAGGTCCGGGGCCAGGACTCACACCTGTCATACAGGCACTTAGGGAGGCTGAGGCAGAAAGAATTCTTGAGCCCAGGAGTTCGAGACCAACCTGGGCAACATAGCAAAACCCTCATCTCTCTAAAGAGTAATAATTTTTTAAGTGGGGACTCGGATTCCTATTCGGATGATGAAATCATAGACTACAGACTTGGCCGGGCTCAGTGGCTCAGCCTGTAATCCCAGTGCTTTGGAAGTCCGAGGTGAGTGAATTGCCTGAACCTGCAGGTTCGAGACCCACCCAGGCAACTTGGCGAGACCTCATCTCTACAATAAATCAAAATTAGCCGGGCATGGTAGCGTGCCTGTAGTTCCAGCTACTTAGAAGGCTGAGGCGGA